AAGATATTTTCTTCTTTGCAAATTCAAATAGTAATATTTGTCATCATAAAAAAGGGGGAGATTGTTGCGGATCTGTTTTCTTAGTTTATGATTTTGATGATAACAAACACTCTTATTTCTCCTACGACTGCCTTATCAACTGACATTTCACGTCCACAAGATCATATTGAAATTTGGAATCAGCTCAAGATTGGATATATTAGGTCTGAGTCAGTTTGTATCCTTTTTTTCCTTTCTTGAGTCTATTGTAATTAGTGTGGCTCCTGATGCTATGTAACTTTTCACACACGCACCCTGGAATATTTTCTGACTGTTCCTTAGAGTTTACTATTTTTGGTAACATCATTCAGGATGATATTTATATCGGCCTGAACGATCGGTTCAAAAATAGAATTCCTAATTAGGGCATCCTCATTAAGGCAGTTGTCATTAAGCCGATTGGCCTAGAAGATACTTGTATCAGCTAGGATGATAGGATTAATTAAGAAAAAAATCATCCACCATGATCAATTAAGGTATTTTTATTTTAGGAAATTGGCGAGGATGATATCCATATCGTCCAGGGCGATCTAACTCAATTATGCTTAAATTAATCTGGTATCTTTGGAAAGCATTAAAGGCTGATTGATTCGATCACATCGATCGGGCCGAGCGCAGGATCGGTCGAGACGATGTCTTGGACAATTGACATTGACCAGCATCTATTTCGGGTGATATTAGGGACAATTATACTTGAATTTGAGTTAATCGGCCAGGACGATATTTATATCGGCTTGGACAATAAAGTTGAAAAGTTGCATTAATGAGCTCGTTTTGAGATCTTCTATTTAAGCTTTGACAAGGCACTTTGTAAGTGTCTTTGGCAGCCATTGTAGCTTCGTTCTTTTGGGGAGAACTTGAAGAGAGAGCTTGAAAAGGAATGAGGAACGGATGAAGTCTGAGAGATGGAGAAGATCCTGTGAGGGGGGACTCAAGGGAGTGTGGAGGGGGATTCCACACGGTTGCTCTGGCAGGCTTGCACCTTAATACCGTCGGATTCAAGACTTTGGTAAGGGCTCTTTGGTGTCAAAGGACCCGGCGACTCCGCCATACCGGGGAAGGTGGAAGTGATTTTGTAAGGGCTTCTCCGCCTAGCTGTCGGAGCTAAAGGAGAGACACTTTTGTAGTGCAATACTTGAATGGTGCCTCCAAGGAGTGGACGTAGGTCAAGGTTTGACCGAACTACTATAAATCTGGTGTGTTCTTTCCTTTATTACTTCACATTTAATTTCTGCACTTTGATTTTCATTATGGGGAATCTTGGTTTTGTTTTAAGATTATATTTGTTTTAAATACTGATTCACCTCTATCTTTTAATTATCCTTGGGCCGCTTCATATGGCCTAACATCCCTAATGAATTTTCATGTTGCTGAAAGAAGAACTCAATCATTGCTCGATATGGTTAAGTCTATGTTAAGTTACTCATCCATACCAAATTTATTTTGGGGATATGCAATACAAACTGCAATGTATATTTTGAATATTGTACCTTCAAAATCAGTACATAAGAAACCTTTAGAGTTATGGAGTGGGCGTAAATGTAGTTTACGACACATCCATATATGGGGATGTCCGACACATGTATTAAATAGAAAAATAGATAAGTTGGAATCACGTTCAGAAGTATGCATATTTGTCAGATATCCTAAAGGTATTAAAGGAGGGTTATTTTATAGTCCTCAAAAAAAGAAAGTATTTGTATCGACAAATGCTACTCTTCTTAAACATGAATAAATAAAAGATTTCAAACCTCAGAGTAAATTATTACTCAAAGAATTGCTAAATGAATTAATAATAAAGGATACAAACATTATTATTAAAATTTAACAAAAAGAAATCACCACTCCAAATCAAGAACCTTTATTTCCTCGTCGTAGTGGGAGATTCATTAGACTACCCTCTCAGTATAATATTAATGGAGAAGAATATATTTTCGCATCTAATGATGACAACGATGATCCATTGACATATAAACAAGTATTAGAGGATCTTGATAAAGAAAAATGGTTAAAATCCATGAGACTTTAAGTAGATTCAATTTATTTCAATTTTGTTTGAGAACTTGTGGATCTTCCTAGCGAGGTAATACTTATAGAATGTAAATAAATTTATAAGAGAAAAATTTGTGTTAATGGAAAAGTTGAGACTTACAAAGTAAGGCTAGTGGAAAAAGGATAAACCCAAAAGGAGGGCATTGATTTTGATGAAATTTTCTCTCCAGTCTCTCCATACATATAATTTTATCCATTGATGCATATTATGATTATGAAATTTGAAAAATGGATGTCAAGACAGCTTTTCTAAATGATTATCTTAAAGAAAGAATTTATATGAAACAACTAGAGGCTTTCATAATAGAAGGTTAGGAGCAAAAAGTTTGCAAACTACAAAGATCAATAAACGGACTTAAGCAAGCTTTAAGGTTATGGAATATAAGATTTAATGAAACAATTAAATTTTATTGATTTGATCAAAGTATAAATGAACCTTGTATTTACAAGTATTTTAAAAATTAGATAGTGGTTCTCTTAATTCTTTACATATATGATATTCTACTTATTGATAATAATACTGAATTTTTATTTGATGTAAAAAAAGACTATCTAAACAATTCTAAATAAATGATTTGAGAGAGGCAAGTTTTGTACTTTGAATAAAATTAAAAAGAGATCAGAAAAATATAATATTAACACGTTCTCAAGTGATATGTATTGAGAATATTCTTATAAGATTCGGGATGCAAAACTCCTAGAAAGGAAATATGCCTTCACGTCATGGAGTTTATCTTTCTAAAAAGTAGTATCCTCAAATACAACTTGAAAAAGATGATATGCTACAAGTGCCTTATGCATCAACAGTTGGTAGTCTAATGTATGCAATGTTGTGTACAAGGTCTGACAATTGTTATGCTATAGGCATAGTCAGTAGATATCAATCTAACCCAGGAAGGTTTCATTGGGTGGCGGTTAAGCATATACTTAAATATCTCATAAGAACTAAAGAATATATGCTTGTGTATTCTGAAAGCGATTTGATCCCTAAAGTATACACTGATGCTAACTTTTAATCGGATAGAGATAAAAATAAATCTATATATGGATCAATGTTTATTTTAGGAGGTGAAGCCATATTTTGGAGAAGTGTAAAACAATTATGTATTTCTAACTAAACTATGGAAGCTGAATATGTGGATGCTGCAGAAGCAGCTAAAGAAGTAGTTTGGCTCCATAATTTTCTAATAGAATTGGAAGTTATTCCAAATTTAGAAAAACCTTTAACACTATTTTATGATAATAGTGCAGCTATATCAAATACAAAAGAAGTCAAAAATCATAAAAGGGTTAAGCATATATATAGAAAATATCATTTGATAAGAGTCATTGTGAAAGAGGGTAAATTATCAATACAGAAGATAACATCATAAGAGAATATTGCTCATCTATTTACCAGGACGCTACCTAAAAAAAAATTCAAAAACATGTACAAGCAATGGGATTAAGAAAGATGTCTCATTTTCTTTAGGACAAGTGGGAGTTTATTAGGGAATGTTCCCTAAAGAAATATTATTGTAATATATTTTATACGAAAATAAATATTTAAGGACAAGTTTAATATGTTTCGATATTATCATTTGATTCCATGATTATGTATGCAAACATAATTCATTATATAATTATATATAAGAGGATTGAGTTTTGGATAATAATCTAAATATATTTAAAATTATTAATTATAGTTGAAATTTATAATTAAATATTACTAGTACAATCCATCAACATTAAGAATGGAATAATCTTATCTGAATTATTTTATATGGAGATATTAAGGATGAAGGTAATTTATATAATATGATTATATAGAACTAGACCAGATAAATTTTGAATTCTCTAATAAATTCTATTTTATTATATAGAATTTAAAATTAATCATAAACATGATCATATATAAAACAATCTTAATCTTGAGTTATTAATAAACTCCTACTTATGACATTTGTTTTTTGATATACTCAAAAATAGTTTGGAAGAAATAAACTGAATCATTGTATCTCAGAAATACAATAAAACAAATTATTATTTTATATGTAATGATTAAATTAATGGACAATTCAATTTTTTAAATTGATTAAATTATACTATAAATTCAAGAGTGCAATTTCATATTTATAGTGGAAGAATATTGAAATTAATATTTTTGATTTATTAATTTAAGATTTAAATTAATGGTCAAATTTATTGGAGCTTGAATTATAGGTCCATAGATCTCTTCTTCATCACATAATCACGATTATATATTAATTGGGCACCATCGTTAATAATGTGACATAATATAAATGTTAAATTATGATTACATTAGTAATGTCTTTATGATCACCTTTTATTTTTATTGTATAAAATCTCATGAAGATGATAATAACTCATCATAAATATCTTTAAATATTAAAAGATAAAGATGATGATGTGCCATTAAAAATAAGGTTGATGATGTGTCATGATAATTATCATTTTAATATTGATTAAAAATAATTTATGAATTAAAAAGAGGTGCTTAGGAATACATGTATTCAAAATTGAAAAGATATAAACTTTTCTTATAAAAGAGAATGAAGTTCTACATGAAAGAGAGATGATTTCTTCATGAGAGATTGAAGATAATATATGAGAAAAATATTAGTCTCTTAGTTTTTTTCCTTTCGAAGGATTAAATTGTATTGGGAACACAAATTACATTCAAAAGAAAAAATGTTCATCAATAATTAATTGATTGTACCCACCCACTAAAATATATTTGGTGAGATGATTAGAAGAAAAAGACTTACGGTCTCAATTAACATTTCGACGAAAAATATTTACGATCTCAATCAACTTTTCGGTAAGTTTTCTTCCTTTTATATTTTAAAATTATTATTTATTAAGAAAATTAAAATAGAGAAAGTCTCGATTTAATTTTCTAAACATCCTGATTTTCAATTCTGTTATTATATATGGATTTAAAGATCCAACAATTTCAAAAACAAAATATCCACCGCAATACAAAATGTTCTCAACTTACATCACCTCTACCAACTGTTGCAGAGGAGGCCTCTTTGCATCAGTAACTGAGTTCCAAGATCTCAAACTCACTGAAGCATTTTCTGAACTCTCTTTGCTCTCACGAGGCAAAGGACAAAGCAACAGACTAAAATCGTCTTCTCCACCAACACCCAAATCCTTTCTGTAAAAACCTCCATCTTCAACTTCATAGAAATTCCCAGTCCTCACTTCCTGAGCCAAAGAACACCAACAACAGAACAACCACTGTAAATAATCAGTAGCTGCTTCAGACCCACAGCAGAATCTATTACCTCCGAGTTTAAATCTTTTCCTCATTTTCAATCTCCAGAAACCTCCATAGATCAATCCACACACAGATAACACCATTCCTGATATGGCCACCACATTTCTCATCCAACCATTGCTTATATTCAGAGCTGAAATACCAAAGATCCATAGAGGTGCAAAGCATAGGAGGAAGAACATGGCAATGTGAACATACATGTTCCCAAATCCGAGTCTTTCCATATTCCAACCAAAGATACAGAAGCAACAGAAGAATGAGAGAAAGCTTACTGAAATATCATTTCTGCAATCAAATACTCCTCCATTCCACTCTGGTTCAGTAACTGAAGCTCTCTGATTGGTTAACTTTAGCTTTACAGTTTCACTGTCGTTTGAATCAGAGGAGCTTTCTTTCCCTAGAGGACTGTACATGGCATAAGCAGCAGCGACGGTTGGAGCTATGAACCCAATGGCATTGAAGAAATTTTCAAGAAATTCTGGTCTGGTGGTTATAGTATATCCCCAGTAGAGTCCACATAAGACGTATTGAGAGAAGCAGGTTATGTGGAGAAGAACTAAAATGACCATAATGTGAGCCCATTCATTAGGCTTGTGAGCTCCGTTCTTACAGTAAATCTTTCTGATCTCTATTATGTCTTCTGGTTTCCATCTACAGAGAAGAACCAGGTGGTGTAACAGACTTGGATGTTGGTAAAGACTCATTAGAGTGAAGAGAGCATTAAGAACTTGGTTATTGATTTCAATCCAGCGGTTTTGGGAAGATTTTCCTGGAAATTCTTTGTTCAACATTCCAAGTAGGAGAAGAGCTTGCATGGAGGAAGAGGAAGCGACGCAGATGAACCATATTAGAAGAGCTATATTCATTGGATGTTTAATCCATTCTTTGCAGAGATCAATAAAGGAAGATAAGTTTAACTTTTTTATGAAGTTGGCCGGAAAACTTGGTTGGACATCGCCGGGAGAAGAAACGGAGAGAGAGATTTCTTCTCTTTCATCCACCGTTTGTCTGAAAATTGAGGAGGAAGCGAAAGGTGAGATTTTTCGGCGCCAGTCTCTGGAACGGCATGCTTTGAAGAAATTTACTAGTTTTGTTCTATGGCCTCTCCGAGTACAAGAACCTGTTTTGGTGGATGGAATCTCGATTTTGAGGCATTGAATCTTTAATAGAACAGTGGATTCGAAGTGGAGTTCCTCTCCCATTCTTGCGCCTTTTGAATTTTTGGTTGACTAAATTGGTAGAAATCTGAAGCAATTCACTCCTGTAACAGAGGATTAATTGTTCCCAGATCTTCGGAGTTGACTTCCCCAAAATATAAAATTTATAACAGAACTTGAAGAAAGGAACAACCTTTCGTAAAAGGGATAGAGAAATAAATAGATTCAATATAAATCGCTGATAAGAAGAGCTTAATTATGTAATTTTCTTACCTCAGCAATCCCTGGAGGGGAAGTTCTGTACGAATTTGAGTGGTAGAACAAGCTGAATTTGTTTAATTTAATCTTACTTTGCTTTCTTGGATATAAGAAATTGGGAAAAATCTAAGTTTCTGTTTACTGGAAGCGACGAGGAAGAATGCTGACTGCCTCAAGATCGGAAGGGTTTGGGAAGAGAAGAAAACTGGAACGGGTCAATTCTCTAAATGTGGAAGGAACCAGGCAAGCCTGCTGCCGGCATACAGTAAGAGAAAAATGAAATACATCGCACTCTTGCGTGGATTTTAGTTAATTTAAGATTATTCAAACTAGTAATAATGTTCGGATTTTAAGTTACAGAAGATTCCAATCTCTTTCATCTGTGGTCAAAATTAAATTTTAATATTTAGGTTGTCTACCACAACAAATAATAGCAATAATAACAAATATTTATCTCATTATATGAGATCTGACTACATAATTGTTGCGTCTTAAAGTATTCGCGGCGGTAGAGAAATATATAGTTTAACATCTTAACGTTGTACGAAGATCCAGCACACAATCAGATAAGTGAGAGGGTGTAGCGTTAATAAGAGACACCAGAGTTTTTACGTGAAAACCCCTAAAAAAGAATAAAAACCATGGGGTCTAACCCAGTTTGAATGAATCCACTAGTATTTGCAGCCATTTACAACTGAGGTCCTTCCTTGGGAGAAGGCCTTGGCTTGATGTCACAAATATACATCATATAGATCGAATTATATGGTGGGAGTTACAATATAGACATGTTTGTTTGGTAGGCACGACCATAGTCGATAGGATGGAGGCCGGAAAGACCATTGTTTGGTGATGTAAGTCGGAAGGACTATAGTAGGCGAAGGAGGTCAGAAAGTCCGTAGTTGAACGACATTATTCTGGGAGAACTCTAGGCATCAAGTGGTAGCCTTGTGGAGCTCAGGGCCTCAAGTAGTGGTCCGGCGGAAGTTCGGGCCTCATGTGGTATTTTGGTGGAGCACAGGGCCTCAAGTGGTGGTCCAGCAGAGTCTAGGCCTCAGATGGTGGTTCGACAGAATTTCGGGCCTCAGGTGATGTCCTTGTGGAGCACAGAGCCTCAAGTGGTGGTTCGGTGGAAGTCTGAGCCTTTGGTGGTGGCTTGGTGAAGCACAGGGCCTCAAGCGGTGGTCCGGTGGAAGTCCGGGCCTCAGGTGATGGCCTGGTGGAGCACACGGCCTTATGTGGTGGTCCGGAGGAAGTCCGGGCCTCAGGTAGTGGCCTGGTAGAGCACAGGGCCTTAAGTGGTGGTCCGACGGAGGTGAGGGCCTCAAGTGGTGGTCTGTTGGATGACTATGGCACCCCAAGAGGGGGGGTGAATTGGGGTTTTCAAAATTTTTATTAAAAGAAGAAAATTAAAATGATTTTTAAAACAATTTTGTAAGGAGTAAGTAATCACACAATAATTCTTATAAAAAATGACAGAAAAATAAATACAAGGAATGAAAATAAGAGGCACAATATTTTTACGTGGTTCGGCCCGGATTCCAATCCGACCTACGTCCACGCTAGCCAACTCTCGGGCTAGAATTCACTAATCCCAGGTTTGCTTTGCAAACCTCACTTCTTTAAACCAAAGAAGTAAAAGATATGATATAGAAAACTTTAATATGAAATTTCCAACAAGTATTTCACCATAAGATAAATATTTTTCAAGAAAGAAATATATGGTGAAAGCTAAAAAAGCAGCAAGTAGAGATTTAGAGATGGAAAGCAAACTCAAGAACTTAAGAGATGCTACTCGGCTTTGTGTGTTGAAGCTTTCCAAAAATGATTTCGATCTCACAAATGAAAAGAACTCTTGGAATAAACTCAAGGCTTCTCCTCTCAAGATTTAGCATGTAAAGAAGAAAGGAAGTATGAAAGAATTGCTGGAGTTTTTCTTGTGTAAGCAGCCCTTACATGAGGAAGAAGAGAGGTATTTAAAGAGAAAAGGCAAGTAAAGGCTTATTTGAATAAAAATATTATTCTAATATGTTTTCTATCAACTAATAATATTATATTTCATTAATAATTCATTTATATTAAATATATATGACATTCAAACGGCTAGAAAACGGCTAGCCACAAGGGAAGGTCAAAAAGTCATCATATGCATCCAAAATAGGGCTAAAACGGCTAGTAGCAGGTTCTATTTAAAATAGATAATGTTTGGAAATTCATTATAAATTCAAATGAGATCCAAATGCGTAATATAATATATCAATTTACATCTATGGAATCCAAACAATCTAATGCAATAATAACTAGACCACGATTCTGACATCCTAATATCATATTCACTAAAATAGTGACTCATGCAAATTTTTTAATATATAAGGATATATTGAATATTAATATAATAATATTATGTATTATATATAAAATTAATCATACATTAATAAATAGATATGAAATAAGTCATAAATAAAATAAGTATATAATAAAAATTTTGCCAAATAAGCTTATTACCTTTAATATTCCTAATTAGATAACTTTACATATATGAAGGTTATAAATTTATTTAATAAAGAAGTCTTATATATTTCTATATCAAGATTAATATATAATTAATAGATATTTAGATTGTGAGCAAATCAATTCATGCATGTAATATTGGTGGACCACTAACAAACTCCTACGATAATGTAACATCTTGGTCCATCTTAATCTCAACATTTGATTGATCTTGAGTTGTGCAATGTAAATCCCATAAGCAATTACAATGCACATCATTAAACCTGAAATACTTAGCACACAAATAAGAACATTCAAGCATATATTTGTTATCATCAAAATCTCTTAAATAGGTAATGAGGTAGATAATATCAACATGGTCCGGCGGAGCAACAGCGTCAGACGGTGGTCCGGCAGAGGTGAGGGCCTCAAGTGGTGGTCCGACGGAGCAACGACGTCAAGCAATGGTCTGGTGGACGTGACGGCCTCAAATGGATATCCGGTGGAGCAACGACATCAGGCAGTGGTCTGGTGGAGGTGAGGGCCTCAAGTGGTGGAGCAACGGCGTCAGGCGGTGGTCGAGGAAGGTGAGGGCCTCAAGTGGTGGTCCGGCTGAGCAAGGGCATCAGGCGGTGGTTCGGTGGAGGTGAGGGACTCATGTACCTGGTGGAGCAACGGCGTCAGGCGGTGGTCCGGCAGAGGTGAGGGGCTCAAGTGGTGGTCCGGCGAAGGTCCAACAGTGGTCCGACGAAACTCCGGCGATGGTCGAGGAGGAGCTTCTTCCTTCTCTTCTCTTCTTCTCTTCTTGCTTCGATCCCCCCTCAAGAGAAATGAGGGGTCTATTTTTAGATTTATGGAGTGACATGACCCGTAAATATGTTAGAGATCAAGGGTAAATGGGGAGTGGTTGAATGGACGGACGATATTGAATCTCTTGAACATGCACCGTTTGTCAGACATTTGTAGGCCTTAATAATGTTGGAATTCGGCTATCTTGGGCTCGTTGGATTCTTGTCGTCGATGCGCTCGATTCGATTATAAGCACGTTATGTTTAAAAACTGTTTGGTAACCCAATTTGTGGTTTGAACCTTCCAACATTTCTTCGGGTCCTTGATTTGGATCCATTTGGACTTAGATTGAGTTGATTTTGGTGTCGTTGGATTCGTATTTCCAAGACGTTCAATTCAACTATAAGTTTGTTGAAATCAGAGTTCATATGATCTCCGAATTAATTTTTGAATTTTCCAACTTGATTTTGCATCGAGATTCGTGCCCGATCAAGATAAGTTTTTGACTACCTATCAATAATTTATTTTTCTTTATTTTATTCTGTTGAAAATCAAATTCTCTTTTAACTTTAATTAAAAAAAGATCATTTTTAATTATTAGGTTATCTGTTAAAAATAAAATATGCAGTAAATTTGATGTATGATATATATTTTAAATTAGCTGAAATAATATGAGGACAGAGAGAGAGACTTTTAGGACTAAAAGGGTTATTTAATCACTAAAAAAATTTGTAAAAAGCCAAAGGACAGGTCATGACGGTTCTTGTACAACCTGGAAACACGTTCCTTTAACCCACCTAAGAGATTACCGCAAAGAAGTAGGTTGATTACAGAAGACTTAATTACCAAATGGGAAGAATCGGCTGTCCTTCTCTCGGTTTGTTAGCGAAAGGGACATTTGCCCTGTTTGAATTTGAAGTCATATTAAGCTTAGTTTTTAAGGCTGTTCATTTGGCTCATTTACCAAATTTCTTTTAATTTTATAGAGCTTTAAGGTTTGTTCTGATTCAATGGATTGAACAGTGAACTTCTCGCTCGGAGTTGGTGGCAGCATCCATCCTAATCGTATCATTCGTGTACTCGAGAGATTATTACGTGCTGTGTCTGAATTGTCCGGAAGAGAATCCAAACGCGCCATATCACCCAAATGCAATGGGTTCCGGGTGAAATGGCACGTCCGGATTCGCCTCCGGATGAATCCGAACGCCCAACGTAATAATTTTCCCGTATACTCAGAGGCGGACCTACAGTGGGGGCCTACCAATTAAAATTCAGGCCTTTTATATTATATTAATATAACCCTTATCATATATAAGATTTGTTATACACTAAAATTAATTTTTAAAACTAATTAGACCATGCCTCCACCTCCGGCCTTCCTTTGGAATTTTATTTTATTTTTCATGATCACGTTAGAAGAGTGGCTGGAATTTCTCTTTTCTTATCTCTCCCCTTCTCTCTTATTTATCTCTCTATCCCATTCTTTTTTTTGTTTATATTTATTTCCCCACTATTTTTTAGGGAATTTTTTTTTTTGGGGAAAAAGAAATAAAAGATAAGATAAGATTATGTTGCAATAATTTAATTAATTAATAATTTTTTTAATAAATCTTAGAAAGTAAATTAATTAATTAAATAATATTAACTTTATTATTATGTATTCTTTATGTTTTTCTTTAAGTGAATGTGAACCTTTATATCAAATAACTTTGATATACAATTAATTTAGAATAAGTTAGAATATTATCCTATACTAATTTAAATTTAATTAATATCATTATAGTTCAAAAATTAAGACTTAATTTAATTCATTCAAACAAAATAATAGTAACTAAAAAATTAATTTATTTGATCTCGATTCATTAATATAGTCTAATGAAAAAAAATATTAATTTCTTAATTAATTATAAGATAGAAAGTGATATATCTATGCTTTTTTTCACGAGAACTATAATTTTGAATGTATTTTTTTATTAAAATCTTATCCCATGATCTACAATTACACTAAAGAAAAATG